TCTTGCGACATGCCCCTTCGCTTAAGCCCACATCAATTCAATAGGGTTGAGCTCACAATGATATGGGGGCAGTCTAAGCAGAGTAATTGTGCTGCGGCCATCTCGTCTACAATACACGGTACGGTATCTGTATTTCTCCTGGCCCACAATTTCCAATAAATTAACTTTTAGCATTTTTTCTTCAAAATTTAAATTTTTTGAAGTCAACCACGCTTGGATATCGCCTTTTCTCCATGCACTTGTTGGTACTTTTTCGACCTTCCTCGAATGATAGGGAGCATTATCCAACACTACTATCGAGTTTGGTTTTAATTTTGGAAGTATTTTTGTGAACCACTCCAAATACTTCCCCATTCATCTCCTTGTAGTAATCTGCCAAGCCTTTTTTTGCCTCAAAAACCAATAAGCCATCTTCCAAAAATCCTTCTTCGCTTCCTATATGGCTAGCTATAAGTCGCCTCCCTTTGCCTGTAGGTGCAAGCAAGGTGTGTAAGCAGGCAACACAGGTTATAGTTTTAAAACAATGGGGGATGTCAGCAACTAGGGGTTAAAGAATTAGCAATAACTTTACCTTTTCAATAGTCGGAATCTCGTTCCTGTAGAAAAACGCGTGAACCTTTCGTCGAATTGCGGCGAAAGTAAATTCGTCAAATTTTTGTACGAAAGATAGTTGAGGTCCACTCTTTTTCGATTTTTGAAACTCTTTTGTGTCTTTATATCCTTTGGTAATTTTATAGACACTTGACAGACCTACGCCAGTCATCTCAGAAGTCTTTTTAGCACATTCCGTTGCACTCCAATCAGTTGTTTGCGGCCAATTTTCTATATTATATTTGTAAATATTTCGAATTATGGTCTTTTCGTTGGGCGTAAAAGCACCACGAGGACGCTTCTTTCTGGGAGAAAGAAAGTCTGAGTCTTGTGCTCTGTCAGATGGGACTACTTCCCGGGAAGGGCCAAGCTCCATAACGTTTATAAAAATCAACAAACGATCACAACACGAAAAGTCTACAAGAAAAAACTTAACAGAAACTTAACAAATATAACAAGATAATAACAACAAATAGCAGCAAACACCGAGAACACATGAGCGCATTCGAGCATTCAAAGATGTCGAATGAAAATCAATAAATGTGACAGACGCGACGTGACAGCTAACATTTTTTTAACAGGTTTACTAAACCTGGAATTAGTAGGCAGTGATGCCAGCTAAAGAATAAAATAAAGTAATGAAAGTTAATTCGATATATTGTTAGTGATATTGAAATATTTGTTATTTATGTATTAGGTCTTGAGTAAGTAAATATTTAGATTTACCTTTTTGTAGGTAAAACATATATGATACGTAGCATTTTATTTTTCATTGCCCTCAAATGGGTCCAATTTGTCCCTTTTCGGTGGAGAACTTTTTTAGTGGCAACACTTATGAAATGTCAGAATTCTAAAAAATGAAAAATCAGAGTTTACAAATAAAAACCTGCATCCATCGCCTTTTTGCATGCTTTCCCGTCCTTATGTCAAAAATAAGAAAGAAATTTTATTTTAGCTGCGTAAACAAACTAAAAAATGTCATGATCAATAAATAAGTGAGCCCTACAAATCGTCGCATGGTGGTTAAGGGCTCTCAAGAGTGAAACTTGGTAATATTTTAAGTGCTGACTTGAGCACAATCGACTCCGAAAAAAGAACCTTTTAAATCTGCTTTTACTTATACATACTGACATATTTCACGTTCGTGACCGCGCATATTTACAAACAAAAAAATTGGTCTAGATGCTGAACCTATTGTTTCCCTTAGTAATCGATTCTCTCCTTAAAAATGTTTCTAAGACTAGAATAATTTTATTTAAACGAAAGGTAAGCGGACATGTGCACTGCGGCAATGGCCAATGCGGCACACCAAATGGTGACACTATGACCGTCCATAAATGATCATAAATAATGGGTTTCAACTCTAGAAGACTTTAAAGGAGATCTTTTCTTGAAGGTCCGTAAATAGTATCGATCCGAAAAATCGCTGGTGGAAATCGATTCCACAAGGAATTAATGCGAGGAAGAAAACATCTTCTAAATAGCACAGTGGTGGACCACCAATCATCCAGATGGTATGGATGGTATCGCGAGTTTTGTCGCGATGTGCGATGGTGCAATTGAGCGGCTGGAATTAGTCCGAACAAAGGTAGGTAATCTATTCCACAACGAATTCATGCGAGGAAGAAAACTTCTGGTAAAACGCACAGTTATGGACTACCAAATATGCAGATGGGGTTGAGGTATCGCAAATTTTGTCGCGATGGGCCATGATGGTATTTGGCAGCTGGAATTAATCCGAACAATTCCTATGAGCAACCCTTGGTAAATGCGATGGAAAATGCAAAGGGATGTGACATCACTTTGCAACTCAAGCCAGTCGAGCTGGGTCGGAAAGAAATTGGCCATTGATAATTCGTGCTGCTCTTCGCTGAATGCTGTCAAGTAGAAAGAGCTGAGGTGCCACGGTCCAGAAATGAGAACAATATTCCATGAGATGTCTAACTTGCGCCTTGTAAAGTTGCAGCAGTGTGCCGGCATGAAATACTGTCCCTCTCTAATGAGCACGTCAAACTTCTCTTCTTAAGAGACCAATCTGACTTTCATTTCTAAATGACTTCCTTTCTAAGTGACCGTGGGCTGAACGTCACTCGATATGTCGACGCCGAGGATTCCGATACTGGCTGAAGCAACAAGGGGAATACCCTTAAATTAAAAAGATGCGAAGAAGGATTTTTTGCGGTAAACGCTCAACCATATTATTTCTTCTGAGGGCTAAATTGGACTAGATTTAGAGGCATACAATCCGAGACTTTCAGTCACAAGAACGTGACACGCTTTCGGATTGTACTCTGCAAGCCTCCCTTCCCTAGGTTTCGGGCTGTTAGACTTTGTTTTTTCTCCGTGACTCGACGATCATTTTCTCATCACATCTTTTTCATCATGGGGTTGTTGCAAAACTCTAAAAAAATGAGTTTGTTTTGGTAATGTCTTACAAACTATTTAATAAATTGATGTTTTCAGTATTTCTTGTTTAAATACAGTATTACAGGGCACATAATATATAAGAAATTTTAAATACTTAACGGGTTGTTTTTGAAATAGACCTCGTCTCCGAAATCGTATTTCATACCGTTAGACGCGCATCGTCTTGCAGAAACAACACACTCTTTGTCATTTTTGCCCATCTTTTTTCTTTGATAGCTTCTCTTAGCCCTTCAAATAATTAAGCGTAGTACGCTCTTATAATTGTAGTGCTTTTTTCTTTATAATTGTGTCAATAAATTTCAGTCACAATTCTAAAAATCATAGGCATCAACTATCCGGCAAATTTCAATACCTTAAATTTCTTAGAGGGTGTTTTTTGCCTTTTTAAACCGCTGAATTGACTCTTGTTTGGACTAAGACTCTAAGTGATGAACCCCATCTACAGTCACAATAAACTACAAAATCGGTGTAGGTTCATTGTTATACAGCTCCAAAGCGTCGATTTCTTGTTGTTTTGTGAGAGCGTGAGATTCTCGATACCAATCTTTAACAGACTTTTGTCATGTCGAGATGATCTTGCAGTATCTTCAAAATAGCGATATCTCACTCTCCATCTAATAAAGATGACTGTTTTTTTTTTATACGGACTTCTAGTTTTAAGTTTCGACACTTTCGAAAATTTCTGTCTTATTGGCCTTTCGTCAGGCGTCCAGGGTGGGGGTCGTTTTCAATCGATTATCGGCCTTGTTAAAATACCATATAATATGTATATCATCGTTTTACCAGCTTATCTCCATCTTTATAAACAGCTCCTTTTTACTTCATAATGTTCGAGCCGATTTTCCATTCTTGGTCGGAATATTTATGACAGCGCGCAGTTCAATTTGCTCCATTGTGGCAATTATTTTCCGGTTTAAGTTTGTTAGGCAATTACTCATAAACGAATGAGTGTATTAGGTTGATATATTGAAGCCATATAAGTGTAATAAAATGTCGTAAAAATTTACATAGGAGAGAAAAGATTATAGGAGTGTAATTTAATTATTATCATCATCATTATCATCAGTCTGCGACGGTCCACCCATACATAGACATAGGCCTCTTCCAAGGCGCGTCACTTAGCCCGATCTTCGGCTTCACGCATCCAGTTACTGTCAGCCGCCTTGCGCGGATCGTCGCTCCATCATCTACGTTTACCTAAACACGGTCTCGACTCTATGACACGCCTACTCCAACGGTTATCGCTTCTGCGACAGATGTGACTAGCCCATTGCCACTTCAGCCTGCAAATACGGAAGGCTACGTCGGTGACCTTGTTTCTCGTTCTTGGTTACGAATCTTATCCATCAGAGAAACTCCGAACATAGCTCATTCCATCGCCCGCTAGTTGACTTTGAGTTTATGGAGTAGACCGTTAGTGTCCACGTTTCGGCACCATATATGAGTAGAGGCAGAATGTACTGGTCGAAGATTTTCGTCTTCAAGCTTTGCGGTACCTATGGGCGACGAGAAGACCCGACGAAGCTTCCCGAATGCTGCTCAACCCATTTAATTATACCGACTCTTTATGCGGTAAAACGGTACACGTGAATTTGTGCCCCAGTTAGATCCTTAGCAATAAAACAGCAAAAGGTAAAGACCTACAGTCGAATTTTCATGCGGTAAAGGAGTCCTATATCGCCTTGAAACTTGTATGTCCGTATTATTATAGTGATTAATATCTGTATACTTAAGCCTGACCGGCTATTTCGGCTGAGACGAAATTAGACTTTTAGTTTCATACCTAACATCTCCTACTTTGAAACAATTTCAATTATTGTACAGCGCATACTATTTCGGATCTTCATTTCAAATTTTCTAAAAAATTTAATCAGCGTGATCAAAAAAACTGCTATGCTAAACAGTTCCTTCCTCAAGCCTAAAACGTTTTATTTTAATCTGTGAATTATAAGTGTTTATAGCAAGAAGTAATCTACGCTTACCTGACTCAAAACGGAAATATGATCGACATTATAATCGTCGGCGTTTGTTCGAACAAAACGATTGCAAAGGCACGACTTGCCCACTCCAAGCTGTCCTTTTTCCTTTTCGGTGCCTGTTGGGAGACAAATAAAAAAATATTAGTAAAATAATTTTACATGCTTAACCCATTCAGTGCCTTGCCCGCCCATGGGCGGGCAAATCTTTTTATTCACATGCCGAGCCCGCCCATGGGCGGGTGAATTTCAAACCTTAATAATAAGTATGCCAGATAACATGAAAACATTATAAGATTTTGTCTAATAACTCGTTTTATTATGATTGATTCGTTACCAAAACGGCCTGCGGATATCTAAGATTTTATTATAAAAGGACAATTCTGACCTGTCATGCCGACCCCGCCCATAGGCGGGCAGTACGCGTATTCAGAATTAACAAACCATTTGTTAAAATTTTAATCAAAAACTATATAATAAAGTATATTTGCATGTAATGATAATAAAATATAAACTTTATTGTTCCTTGCACCTTATTATTATAACTATAAAAAAGTTACAATATACAAGGTGTTACAAAAAATCGGGTAATCCTTTTAGGGAGTGATTTTATTGTTCAAATACATCAACTTCTTCTATGGGCCCTACATCGAAATCTCAAAAAAAAATTACTTCCCCATACTAAACCGCCGATCAGCTGAGACGAGTTTGTGTGTGCGTGTGTGTTTTTTTTTTTGAGATTTTGATATAGGTCCCATAGAAGCTGTTGTTTTTGAGCAATAGAATCAATTCCTAAGAGGATCACCCGCTCTTTGTAACACGTTCTAGATAAGGCAATACACTGTCGGTAACTAGGAAGCAAGATAAGAATGCAGATGATGATCTACATAAAAGGAGCCGATTGGTATTCGTCACTTTGAAAACGGACAAAGTGCCGACACCATGGTTTTGGTCACCGACCATATACAATTTTTCGGTATGATTTATGATTTAATTTTGGCTAATGACCTATTTCTGATTGTGGTTTAATACAGATAAGATCATAAACTGTCGGTAAATAGGAAACAAGATAAGAATGCAGATGGTGATCTGAACAAAAGGAGCCGGTCAGTAATAGTCACTTTGAAAACAAAAGAAGTGCCGATACCTTTTGTTATGGACACCAATAATTTTACAACTTACATGATTTATTTTATAACGTAAGTAGCATATTATAGAAAAAAAATAGTCTACGGAAAGAAAAAAAAAACTTTCAATCGTATCTTGACGTTCGTGGTTTTCACAACTTGAGCTTTGCTGAGTGATTTGGAAGTTCGTTTGCTGTTTGACTTAATGCATCGAGTGGAGACTATCTCCTCTGCCTATAATTCCTATCTGTGAACGAATATTTTCTTCACAGATAGAAATTAATGCAAAAGAGGTAAGACGTTGGAAAAAAATTAAACATACAAAAAGGTTGACTATGCATGACTTGAAAAAAAAGCCCTAAAATTTATGAATAGAATAATTTTTTAGAATAGAATAGTTGAAAATAATAGAGAAATCTATATTATTTTTACTGCGTTGTCAGTCATTAATAATATTATTACTACTCAGTATTTTTCATGATTTCAACTTAGTGTATTGATATTAAGCAAAACATTAATTGTCATTTTTAATGTTTATTAATGTTTTGCTATTGCGAAAAAACAATATTTAGATTGATTACAATAATGATGATCTAACATCATTTTATTAGGACCCGTAATAAAATGGTGAATAAAAAACGTATACCTACTTGTTAAAAATTATTGTAACAAGTCTTTTTTAATTCTATACTATGATTGATTTAAGCTTATTATTGCACCAATTTTATTTATAACTAGCTGTTCCACGCGACTTCGCCGGCGTGTAATTTAGGATTTTAATTATATTGCTCGGAACCCTAATTCCTTTTCTCAAATCTAAGTAGCCTAAGTTACTCTTTAGAACATCAGCTATCTGCCAGTGAAAGTCACGTCGAAATCGGTCCAGCCGTTTCGGAGATTAGCCGGAACAAACAGACAGACAGACCGACAGACAGACAGACAAAAATTTTAAAAATTGTATTTTTGTTATAAGTACCGTATATACATTCATATGCATTTAGTAAAAAGCTGTTATTTTAACATTACAAACAGTCCTTCCAAAAATGACAAAGTTGCCAGGTTTCACGGTAGTTAATGAATTATTTGCTGGTAATGTAATAATTTAATAGAAATGCCAGTTGGTCTGTTTTGAAATTATGTAAGCACATCTTGCAAATGACCTAAAATAATGACTAAGACCGACATCATAACAAAACTATTTTTAAATATTGTTAAAATTTAGAGAAGAGGCAATTCTCAAGGGTCATCATTTAATGACGTGTGATATTGTCATAGCAATATAAGTAGCGGCACGAAAGTCTCACGGTGACCGTTATTGAGCATAACTCGCGCTGATTGGCTCGTACGTATCGTTTGCACGCACTGATTGGCTGTCCAGTCGTATTCGTGCGCGTCCCCTTCACATTTTGTTCAGCGCTAAACTTACGTGCCGCGACTTGTAAACATTACAATTTTGTATACTGTTAGTACAATTCTATATTGCTTAGGCCTAATTTTTGCCCCCCCCCCCCCCAAACGGGTTCCCGCCTTGTCGTGGCGGGGGAGCTTAGTAGCCGTGGCTTGGTCACCCGCGGTGAACAAAGAGGAACCCCTTGGCTGGCCCGTGGTGTAGGGCCGGCCCGAGGCGGCCACACCGAGTGGGCTTAGCGAGTCCACTTCGGATGTGTGTCGGTGGGCTGCGGTGAGAGGAATGTCCTCTTCCCCCTACCGCGGCAGCCGAGGTGGGGTCGCAGAGGAAGAGGAGTGTTGGTATAGCGAAGCGCCACTCGCCCTATCCTCCGCGACTCAAACGGGGCCGCACGGTTGATGCGGTGGTGGCGGGGCCGCGGCGGAAGAGGAGTTTCGTTATTGCGAGGCGCCGTTCTCCCTACCCTCTACGGTCGAAACTTGGTTGGCGGTGGAGCCAGAGACCAGATCCGCCGCTGGGGTCGGGAAAGCGGGTGCGAGCGCTTAGCTCGATTTTCCTGGCCCCATGGCCTCCGCGTATCACACTCTGGGGTTCGATACGCAGGTGGTGGTGGAGGCCGTGGAGGGGGCGTGCCTTGTGTTCCTGGTGCGCCTTGCCTAAGAAGGAGAATGGGGAGGGGAGGTCCACCCCCAAGAAGGGGCTGCCATGCGGCGGCCGGCGTTGGTGGGGCCGCGGATATTGGCCCTGCCAATATGCGACGAAGGTGGAACACCATAGGGTTTTATTCGGTGCGAGTCCGATATAATCCGTCCTTGCCCCCGCGAGGCAGGTATGCGTAGGCATTTCCCCATGTAAAAAAAAGGCCTAATCTTTGAGCCTAACAAGTATTACATCTGTGTCTCTGACCTTAAACATTTTACGCAGTTAGAGCTTCGCCGCTGTATATTATGGCTGCAGCACAAATGGCTTGATTCAAATTAGTACTAAAGTAAATATATTTAACAACAACAACAACAACAAATACTCACGCCTGTTGCCCAGAGGGGTAGGCAGAGACTACGGACTTCCATTTGGCGCGATCCTGACACACCTCTCTCGCCTCTTTTACATCCATATATCTACGCATACACGCTCGTCGGTTAAGGGTACTCCTAATCTGGCCTATTTTCAATGTATCGCCGATTTGGTCGATAAATCTTCGTCTAGGGTGTCCCTTCCCGACTTTGCCGTTCACTTCTGAAACATAAATTTGCTCTGTCACTCTTTCCTCGTTCATTCTTTCTACGTGACCAAACCACCGAAGCATTCCTTTTTTTAATCCTGGTCACAACGTCATCTTGCAAACCACACTTTTCTCTTATCACACTATTTCTCACCCTGTCATTCAGATTCAGCCCTAGTATACTCCTAATGACCGTATTTCTACAGCCTTTATTCTACTCTCATGCTTCTTCTGCCAGACCCAACTTTCACTACCATACATTAAAGTAGGGACTAACACAGAATTGTGAATTGTCATACATGCCTTCTTTGACACATTCTGACTCTTCATAATAACGTGTAGAGCCCCATTAACTCTATTTCCTGCGATCACTCGTCGTTCTATATCCTTATCATATCTACCATCCTTGCTAAATAAACATCCCAAATACACAAACTCATCCACTTGCTCAATCTACTCCCCTTCTATTCTTATTTCACATAAAGTTTTACTTTCTTCTCTTTCAAAAACCATCACTTTCGTCTTACTTGCGTTCACTTTCATACCACTTTCTTTTAATGACCAGTTCGTTAAAGTAACCATCTTTTGCAACTCGGCTGCCGACGATGCAAATATGACTAGATCATCAGCATACAAAAGGCATTTGACTGTTACCTCACCCATTCTCAACCCACATTCTTCAACTTTCAAAGTTTGCAAACAACTGTCCATCAATAGGTTAAACAGCCACGGAGAAGCTACACATCCCTGTCTGACACCTTTTTGAATGCCAATCAAGTCCAAGTAGACCCCGTTGATCCTGACACAAGCACTAGAGTCCCTATAAAGAGACTTTAATGCCTGTATCAAACCAGCGCTCAACCCAAATGAGGTCTGTGTTTGCCATAACACGTTCCTGTCCACTCTGTCATAAGCCTTTTCCAAGTCCATGAACGCACAAAAAACTTTCTGGTTTTTGGCCGAAAATTTCTCCGCAATCATGCGCATGGAAAAGACTTGATCCGTACACCCCATCCCCTTTCTAAATCCATCTTGCACATCTCAAATTTTTCCATCAATTTTTTCCATAACTCTTTCAAATTAACACCTTAGCATACAGTTTACCCAAAATGCTAAGCAAGCTGATACCACGGTAGTTTTTACAGTACTGCTGCGACCCCTTTCCCTTATATATTGGGACTATAAGGGCTTTGCACCAGTCCTCCGGTACACACTTCAGTTCCCAACATAAATTAAACAAGGTGTACAGCAGGCCTGCAACCACACCCTCTCCAGCCCTTAGCATTTTGAGTGATACTCTATCATATCCGGCTGCCTTACCTGCTTTCATGCTTTTCATTGCTATCATTATTTCATCTACAC